GGATAATTTTGATTTATTTAAAATATTTTTTTCGACGGAATTTTTTTCTAAAAGAAACATGGGAGTAATCGCTCCCGACAGAAAGCACAGGACTATTAATACTTCTACGCAAGTTAAAGTGAAATTTTCAAGGCAGGGAGCAATAAATTTATCTTTTTTGGATAATCAGGACGTGTTGACCTGACCAGCTTCATTCCTGCTGTTTTGGTCGGCATGAAGTACATTACCATGGAAAATAATTCACTCGAGATAGAATGGATCAATGTTATGCAATTTGGAAAGGTTGATGCGATTGTAAGTGTTCACATTAATCCTGTCTTAGCGATACTGCAGATGTGAAAGTATCACATAACGCTGTGAAACAATGTAAATTCTTTATTATACGTAATCAAATTAAATCTAGAGAGTCTAGAAAACGTTTAACTCCATTGTCATCAACATTAAATAAAACTCAGATATTAATTTATTCTAAATACAGAGTTACTTGTAATTTCTTTCTCGTGGCCGTAGAAACCGGGCGTGAGAGCGGGAGGGGGATCACCGTGCCCCCCCCCCCCCCAATAATCATGATATATGATACTTAGTCTAGTATACTACAAAAAACAGCTTATTTATATTGATATGTCTTCTAAATCATGTGAATTATAACTTTTTTTGTTTTTGGTTGACATGCAATACTTTTTTTTTTAATAAACTTGTAACTAGTACGTAGATTAACATCTTTCAGTTTGAATTTTAGCACAAAAAAAAATCAACATCCGTATCTTTCACATGAATATTATAGTTTTGATCATGAATAAATCAAAGGTCTGAAAGATATGACTACTACTATGTGAAGACTTTCAAAAGTCTAAAGCTTAAGTTAAAGAAACGTAGTTTGCATTCTAAAAAGACATCTTTTAGAGTTATACCGCCAAGTGCTGACCCGACCAGTTTCATTCCTGCTGTTTTGCCGCGGATCTGAATGATGAATGATGCATTCAAAAATGGCCAAATGTTATGTAACTTTTAATATATAATGTGATAATATTGACATCAGGTCTTATGCTCTGTTTCCTTTAGGTCATTAATCCTTATGATCTTCATGCTACTGATTATCGCAATAATTCTATAGAACTAACTGACCAACAAGACCTATTAAGTCTATAATGTCTGACGCCAAGACATTAGATAACAAGTAAATCTCATTAAAAAAACTTCCAAGGTAAAGATCCATTCATTCATTTATGGAATTGTTTAGACTTTGGTTTTTTGTAATCTTGTTATTCAATCCGTTCTTTGCTCAAATTGCATCAAATTGTATTTATTGTTTCAATTTTGTTGCAAAAGTATATGAATACTTCCATACATAAAAAAAAAAATAGGAAAACAGGTGCGGATCTAGGAATTTTTTCCCAAGGAGGTCCCCCCCCCCAAAAAAAAAACCCACCACAATTCCTTGACAAGTCAAAAAACGTGAACTCCTTTCCATACGTGAAAAACATATTTAATGGGGGGGGGGATCAAATCTTATGCTTCATATGAATAAGTTTTCTAACCAACTTAACAGGGATCTGCGTTTCTAAGGGAGTGGGGTGTCTAAGGTTACTTTTAGTTGCTTTATAATATACATTTAGTAACTCTGCAGATTCCAGGGGAGACCCCCCTTTAGATCAGCCCATTAAAATGAATTCACATCAATGACACTGCATTAAACTGAAATTATTCTGTTCCCTGAAAATAAAATATAGATTGAGTAAATATTGAGAATTAGAGAGCTGAAATAGTCACTTAGGTAATGTGGGAATAAGTTCAACACAACTCAATACAGGAAATTTGTGTATGCAATGGCCACATGCTGTGACTGGTGATAGTCTCGACTGGGCTAGGCGTACGAAATGTACACAGGACGGATCTTACAAATGTTCAGCTTTGTCTTCACTTTCTACTAATTATTAAATCCAAGAGCAACAAATAACGTTTTATGTGCCCACTGGACCATGCAGAAGGAGAATGGAAATAATTCTAATTTAAAGGTAATTCTTTTAAAAGATGCTAGACTCAATTTATTTGTTGAAACAGAAACTTCTAGAAGTAAAACTTTACTGTACTTCTGTTTAATGCGCTATTTTCAGGGAGTGAAAATATTCTATTTAAATCGAAGATGGGAATGCAGAAGAAAACGCAAGAACTTAGGATGGTGAATTTCAAGGAGCACGTACATCCTTTAGTGAACATGTAATTATATTCTTGGATTTACATTTCAAGTGGTGCAACATATAAGTGGTTTGGCTAGAATTTATCTGCGTTTTCTGTGTTGAATCATCACCATCTTATTTGAGGATTTCTATAACATTGCTTTTTCTTCGAAGATGAAACAACTTCTCCGTTATATTTTACTATTTACTAAACATGCTAAAGCACTCTAAAACTGTAGTCTTTTAGAGTATCAAAAGCTGCTTCTGACAGAGAAGATAGTGGAAAAGTATTTTGAAAAGTTCAAATTTGACCATATCTACATGTACAACTGAAGCGGAACGCCAGCAGTACGGAGATAAATGAGACGTTGACGAACAAAAACAGCATTCAATTTTATCTTCACCAAAGTTCCAGTCAGAAGTTTTACCTGTTGGTAGGTATCTCTCCTCTTTCTAGCACAGAGTAAAGAGTTATTGCTGTATTTTTTTTAACTAAAAGTATTAGTTTTTTTCTTCTTTTTAAATGTCGTGGTACTAGTCATTGTTAATTAAGACCCCAGAGGAAAAATGTGCACAGGAGGAAACATAGATAAAATTATTTCATTAAATTAATTGGTCTTATTTTCAGTGACATTTCATAGCGAATTTTAATTTGAATCTTAAACTGTCCTAGAAAAAAATGTTTTGAACACCGTATCTGTCTATTTCTTCATAATCTTCATTTTTCAATATTTGCTTGTCGTAAAGACAGAAATGATACCAAAAAATTGGTATATATTTATGACGTCGACATATTTTTGCTGTTAATGATTAGAAAAAAAATTGCTATAATTAAGAAATTGTAAAATTTCAACGATGTCCAAAATTCCATTTTCTGCAACCATCCTTATTTTTCTATACAAATTTCTGTCATTTTAAATTAAATTATTTTGAAACTTTAAAAAAAAAAAATAAAATTCAATGCGGTTAATATTTAATCTTAATCATATCATGAATTAAATTTTTGATGAAAGTTTGTATCATCCGTCTTTAAGCTTGACATATTTGGGTACATGTAGGTTGCTAAGGGCTATCAGACACAGTCTGTCTAAATCCACCCATTTATAGACAATTCAGTTAAATGGAATAAGATGAACGATACTTTGAGAAAAAATGACTTGATATACTGTTGAATTTTAAAAATGGCTTTAAATTTGATTGTTTTTTTAATGGAATTTGTTGGCGTTATAATGGTAAGTCACATTTATTTTGAAACTCAGAAATGTAATATGAAGAATGTGTGTCTATCTTGTTGGATATTTTGTTGATAAAGAAGTAAAGAACATTTAAAAAATATCAGGATAAATAAAATGGGACAAGTGAAATTTTTGTAAACAAAATGGGTTTATAATTTGATGAAGGTCTACATATACTTTCCTTTTTTATTTGTGTGTTCAGTCTACTATAGTGTTGTTACACACAATTGTCATGTTAATACGCGCGTCCTTTACTTAGCCCATTTGATTTTTAAAAATTATATTCGAATACTTTTGAATCATTAAAAAACTTTCTGTATAATTTTTTGAATTAACACATCGATACATGTGCCAAACACACTCATAAAATGATTAAAACAAACAACATTGTCCAGAGAAATGTCTGTATATTTTATATCAAGCACAAAGATTTCCGGGTTCTAATGTGAAAAAAAAACGTTTTCAAAGAAAACAAAGAATTCAGGATATGCTAGTATTTATTTGTTTAATTGGGGCTATAGGGAATGGGATTGGAATTTTTTTCATTTTCATGCATTGTGAAAAAAAACAAAACAAAGTACGTTCACTTCAGATCATGAGTACTGAGAGTCAAAGTCTACTGTTGTTAAATCTATAATTGCTAGAATTAAAGATAAAATTCTAGCTAGTGATTCTCATCCAACTATAAAATTTGGCATAGATTCTATTGAAATAATTGATGATTTATTGTAAATCAATTTGTTCCCCGAAAGTGAAAATCAAATAACCCAAATTTCAGAACATTAAAATCCAGGACTCAATTTTTGAAAGCAGAGAACAAACCTGGTGCAGTCAGGCCTATATAAGAATTTTTCGTAGTCATGTTAATGTTCTCATATTAAAAAGAACAAAATAAATCAAATAACAATATTGTGAAAACTGTGTTCTCAAGCAGAGTCATTTTGTCAAGATAATTTTGTAGCCCTCTCTCCCACAACAAACACACATGTACGATTTGAATGCGTTAATTTATGTATACGTAATGTATAATAAATAAAATTTATTGAGAAGCATCCTCAGGTGGTGTAGATACAAATGTGTTCAAATCACCTGCCTGGTGTAGGGCAATGCGCTGGAGATCAAATGTCGGGACAACTTTTGTATTTAAACTTTTCAATACTTAATTGATTTCAGCGATGTGGCATATGGGACTCTTTTTTAAATTCTGTTTACTGGAAATGAATTTAATTACTTGTTCAAAATTTGAAATTCTATAGAATATTAAAAAAAAACAACAGAAAATTTATTGAGAAGCATCCTCAGGTGGTGTAGATACAAATGTGTTCAAATCATCTGCCTGGTGTAGGGCAATGCGCTGGAGATCAAATGTCGGGACAACTTTTGTATTTAAACTTTTCAATACTTAATTGATTTCAGCGATGTGGCATATGGGACTCTTTTTTAAATTCTGTTTACTGGAAATGAATTTAATTACTTGTTCAAAATTTGAAATTCTATAGAATATTAAAAAAAACAGAAAATAAGAATCATTTGAATTTTGTGCACCATTCATAGACTTTGTTCATGTACTTCTATCATAGAGCATAAGATGGAGGTAAACAACCCAGCAGGACCGCAGCCACCAAAATGTCTAAGGAGTAAAAACAGAAAACACATAGATGTCTAAAAGATACATTTATAAAGAGACAAGAGAACAGTATTAAACAGGAAATCATCGGTATAATAACATTCTGATGACGGGTTTAACGTAAAATGGTTAACAATAGTGGTCCTTTTATTCAAGAAACATCAGGAGAAGTACTCAACAGTTCAAAGTGGAAGGATTGCTAAAAACGTGTAAATGAAAATTCATATCAGATGTCAAATGATACAGATCAAGGCCCAACCACTAGGATTTTATAACAATGTTACCTACGAGCTGGAACAAGGAAACCCACCTCGCAAACAGAATTTGGAACAGTCAGTAATTTGGACCTTGACTCTCGCAAAGCAATTAATTTCTTACGTTTTTAATATATTTATATGAGAATACTAAGTTATTGTAATTTGATTGCTTCACCCACAGATTTCATCAGAGGAGTGTATGAATTGAAATGTTTAGCTCAAGATAATTTTTGAGGCTCCTATAACGAAATGGTAAGAGCGTTTGCTCGAGTATCACGCAGCTAAGTGTTAATCCATACGTCGTGGGTTCGCACCCCACTACAGGACGTGCAGTAGGTGCAGGCACGGAAAATTTTCAAATAGCAAGGGAAGAAGGGAAGTTTAAGAAACAAAGTATTTTTTCGTTTATAAAACATGAGTTAAAGAAGTGTTTCATTCAGCTATTTATTAGCGTGCAGATAAAACAGTATATGGAGGCATATGGAGGGTTATTTTTATGTATTGTTTATATAATATTGTGCCTTAATTGGAGAATGCATATTTGTTTTTGAACTTTGACATTGTATTTCGTATTTATTTTGATCATGTGTTGATAGGTCCACTTATTGTTGAATTCCGAATGTATCAACATAAAGTAAAGATGTAGATTTTCGACTTTTCTGGTGAATCCACCAGTTTTTTGTCCTAATGCATAGAAAGGAACTTAGTCATTTGTAAAGGAAAACTACGAATGCTTTTTGATTTTAATGCTTTTGGTGGATCCCCCAACCACCCCACCCCCCACTTTTAATAAATACAAAGGCAATTTTGACAGTATATCTTTCAGGTATCCTTGTGTATTCCTGTTTGTATTTTGGTGGATCCACCAAGTATTTGTAAGTGAAATTGAGAATGCTTTCTTATTCGATTTTTTTTTACAGTTTGGTGAGTCCACCAAACTCCTCTCTGTATTTAAGGTCAATTTAGTCGAACTTTGGTTTACTTGTAGATTTTTGACTTTTCTGGTGGATCCACCAGCTTTTGCCCTTGTGTATATAAACATATTAAGGAAGTGTCACTAAGTCATTGTAAAGGAAACTTATGAATGGCTTTTGATTTTAATGCTTTTGGTGGATCCACCAAACTCCCCACTACTGATAAATACACGCGTAATGTTTACAGTATATCATTCAAGTATTCTTGTGTATTCCTGTTTGTATTTTTGATGGATCCACCAAGTATATATAAGAGAAAGTATGAATGTCTTGTTAGTTGAATTTTTGCATTTTGGTGAGTCCACCGACTCTGTATTAAGGACAATTTTAGTTTTTTTTTTTTTTTTTTTTTTTTTTTTTTTTTTTTTTTTTTGCTTCACCACTCATTTTCTTTCAATGGGTTGTTTCAGTGTCTTAAAACTGGTGGATTCACCAAACCCGTATTTAAAAGTATCATCATTATTAAAAGTAATATTGAGAATTTCACCAGGTCGCTTTTATAAATTTAAGCCAAATTGTCTATTTGTAATTTTGGTGGAATCACCAAGTTCTCATGAAGATATTTTAGTTGTTTTGTTGTCAAGTTCATCAATTCTTTGAATGGATTGTAGAATGGTCAAATTCACTCTTGTTTTCTTGGTGGAACCACCAAGATCAATCTTTATTTGAAGATATTTGATAATTCAAATTGGTGTATTCACCAATCCTTTGACTGTTTATATAGAATACCGATACATTATTGATCTGTTTTAACATAAAAATTGGTGAACTCACCAATTCTTAATCTATTCAATCAGGTAAATGAATAAAAAAAAATCGTCGATTTCTGAAATTGCACTGTCTTCATTTTTCATTTTAAATTTTAAAAAAGAGGACAGGAATAGAAAATCCTCTTTCTTAATGGAAACAGTTGTTTATTTTCCTGGTTTTCGAATTCTTGTCTTCTTTCAAATATTCTTACAGGCATTTTTTTTCAGCATTTTATGCATGTCTTCTTGTTATTTCCTTATTATATTTTCTATTTCCTTTTATATGCAATTTCTGGTTTTAGCTACCTTTTCCTTCAAACTAAAATTGTAATTATGGCCTTGAGCACTCCTTTTGAGTCTACATGTGTGTTGACGCTTCCAAAATTAATAGAAAACATATTTGATTCCGTTTATTACCTTTGTACTGAATGAAGGAAGGTATTAAATCAGAATATAGTGTTTATATGTAGTCTACAGTAAATGTTATCTTCGCAAAAGATCCCGAATATGAATATCTAAAAAAAAATATCTTGCAACTGAACATTGAAACGTGATGCGAAAAAATTAATACATGGTCTAAATGTTATTTAAAAAATAAAAATACCTGAAATAAAATCCACTCTATATGACATGTTAATTACTTTATTTGTACGTTTCCTACCAAGGCAAATAAAGTGCAGTGAACCAAAAAATATGTTCTCTCACTCAAACGTACGCGAAGAAAAATTCATTGCATTTAGTTGAGGTAAAGTTGAACTGAGATGATTTATACACCCAAATGCCATTGAATTGACCAATGAATAACTTATGTTAATCAACATCAAAAACAGAAATATTATGAGTCCCAGTAAACAGAATATACAAGTATTTGCAAAAAAAATTATGTGATATTCAAGCAAAACATCGGCTTTTGTCAAATTTCTTTAAGCTTTTTTCGTCCTTATAACAACATCACAAACAGCCTCCAATGAATCATCCATAAATATATCAATTAATTCTCTCAACGGGTATAGATACATTTGAAATTATGCTATACGACTGTTACATATCACAATAGATTGTAATATAATATTGTGGCATCATTAGCCTCTTTGTTGTCGCTTTATTCCCCTCCCCCTTCAAAAAGAATCACTATCATCATCATCAGCATTTTGTAAGGTATTGTTGTGGAATTAAAAGTAATGAGATTCAGCATTACAGAAATTTGTTGCTATTAACAATATTTATATTGACAATATCTTAATAGATCTATGATTTATCTGTAGATTCTTTATAGTCAAATTCACTGGCAAAATTTACTAAATTAATACAGAATAACCTTTCATCCATTTTTTTTGTAGTATTGTTCTGTCAGATTTTCAAAGATTGGTTAATCATAAATTCAAGCATTTACCCCGTGCAATTACAAACGCTCCGATGTTACCATTAGCCAGTTCATAGCAAAAATTTATTGTCAGTTAATAATGAATTTTATGTCTGTCATTCTGAAAATGTAATACTCTTTAAATGCCTTTAGCATCTTTTGATTGCTCGTATGTTCCTTTGTTCAGACAAAGTGCAAAGATCAATTGTTTATCTTTCCATTCCCACTTTTCTTCTTAGATTCATGTCAAAAAATCTTGATCTAAAATTGATCAGCAGTAGACGTTATTGATTTTGTTGATCTTCCTTGTGACTTTATTGGCATCTTTAGTTGGACACAAGCATTGTCAAACAATAAAAAAATAATTTATTTGCACTTGAATAAAACAAAATGATGATAAATACACCATTTATACATATATGTAGGTATGGTTTGTAATGGTTTGCACTAAATCACACAGTATCTCATTATAAACAGGAAAATGAATTGTTTAAGCTTAAATATTCACTGGTCGCTGCAAGCTGCTATTTATATCCAGTGGATGGATAAATTGACAATTGGTATGTTTGATGTATGAATACTGTAAAAATTGGTATGTTTGATGTATGAATACTGTAAAAAAGACGCGAAAAGAGAAAATTAAAACGCAATTATCCTGGAGAATGTAGGAAACTGTTTAAATAGATTCGCTGTAGCAATGTCAACTAACTTACTCAAAGTTTAAAGCTAACTAAGAATTTTGACCATAAAAAAAGCAGGACGCTTGATGTAATGTCAGTGTCCATAAAAATGTAAACGACAGAATTGTTCAACTTGCTCTTCAGTCGAATTTTCGAGCATTTGAGAATTTAAAGCTTTCTCAATTTGCAAGGTTATATTTTTGCCATTTTCCTGTTTATAATAATAAAAGATTCTATTTAGTCATTTTTTTGCACATACATGTATACTAGTATTCTAAATTTTATATATATATATATATATATATATATATATATATATATATATATATATATATATATATATATATATATATATATATATATATATATATATATATATATATATATATATATATATATAATAATAATAATAATAATAATAATAATAATAAATTGGAAAGCATGGGAAAAAAAACTAGGAAAATAAAAAACTTGTCTACCAAATCCTCTGTATTTTTTGTGAGGAGTTACGCCTAACAGTTTATTCATAATGGTCCTAGTATAGCGTAACACTAGACACAAGGATTGAATGTAGATCAATAATCTACAGAAATACAGAAAAGGAAGTAAAATCGTTTTTATTTAATTTGCAAAACATACAAAATCTATTTAGAAATGCAATAACATGGTCATCTACGTGCATATCATTGTGATGATAACATTAAGATGATTGTTTCATTTTCCTGAATACAAGAATTCAAATTTTACTAAAAATAACACATTTTTTGAGAATTTCGTTTCTTTCTTAAAATTTATTGTCAACCTCTCCGATTTTACTTTTTTTTTTTTTTATATATAAATTTTGGAAATGTGTCAGATTATCATGGTGATATCTTCAGTCTTAAAACTACGTAGGTTTTAATGCATCAGTGATAAGTTTTACATTACCTTTTTGTATCACAACTACAAGAGCTGTGCAAACGATTGTATAACCGTCGTCGTCGTTAATGCATCAATAAAATTCAAATTTACATACCACCTGTGATTTTAACACAGTGCTTTGTCCCCTTTTCAAAAAGGGAGATAAATCACTTGTCCATTCATTACTTTTACTTTCGTTACCACTGATGTTTTGAAGGTATATATTTTGGTAATTGGATGTTACAATGCTGTGGTTGTCCTTTAATTTATTTAAAACTGTATGTTTCATATATTATGAAACGAATTTTTATATAGTGATATGATACGGCTGTCGGTAAAATTCGTGGAAATGTATTTTTGCATTATTTTTCTTTAAAATGATAAAACTGTCAGGTTTGTATTCTATGACAAAC